TATTTGTTTTTCCAGGCTGTTTCTTCAATCTGCTTGACCCCGGGACGCTGCCCTTGCTGTGCCTGCCATCCCTGCAGCCACCCGAGCAAGAAGACCCCTTTTCCGGTCCATCAACAAGCCATGAATGAAAATACCCAACAAAGCCAGGTTCAGGAGGGACTTTTCAACACCCCTCTCCTTATATCTTTCCAGTTGAGGAAAAATGCAGTTAGAGAACAGTTCTCAGGGACGTTTACATCAGGCTACGGTCTCCCTGGCTTGCTGGTGGGAAGGCTGTGTGAGATAGTGTCAGCATCTGAAGGCCAGGAGGGATGTCTGGCCGCTGCCGCTCCCAAAATTAATCCCTCTGCCACAGGAGGGCATTGAGCCAGCCTGACAGTGCTTGCTCTGGACAAATCCAGCCCGACTGTTGCATTGTTTCTTTTTATTTTCTAAGTGAATGCAAGTTCACTTGTTTCATTACTTCTTCCAGGAATCGAAGTGTACTTATTGGCCTATAATACTTTCCCCTCATGGAAGACAGTATGACATTATCCCCAAAGCTCAGAGCTGGCTCCCTCAGGGCTCCCCTTTCATGAGAAATTAGCACTAGAAGGTGAAAAATAGCAATGATCCATCCCTCCCACCCAGCTCACTGCCAGCTGACAGACCCACTCTGCCCTGCCTTTAGCCCATGAAAATCATATTTTTCGCTATTTCACAGTGAGGAAGACTAAAGGTGGGCAGTGGTTTGATATTATTTTTTTTTTAACTCTTCCCCACCCAAACACTGAGTTGCAGCAGCACACAGTTTCTGTCCGGTGCATCAAATAGTTTCTGTCTGCACGCAAACAAACCCCAACCAAAGCAAAATGTTTCCTGGCACTGTTTTTAAACGAAATTGTCTTATTTCTTGCATTTGACACACTGATTCATCTTCTAAAGTTGTTACTTTTTTTTTTTTTAAACATGAAAACAAAGCATGAAAAAACAAAACGCTTCAGGTCTGGCGGGCTCTTTGATCCAGCTGGAAGCAATTGATCACTTCTTAGTTTTGATTGAAAAATGAGTTCTTTCTTTTAATCTCCATCAACCAGAGCTGCTTTATTTAGCCATTTTTTTTTCTCTGCATTGTAAGTAAACTTAAACCCTGGCTATTCAACGAGACAGCAAGGAACTGCCATGGGCTGCAACTTCTCAGATGATCTACAGCTGGTTAATATAAGGCATGTTGACTCCTCTTACCCTTCTCAATGGCCACCAAAGGGGACCTCTTGGCCTGAGCATCCCCACCACCCTCTGCCTCCCAGACTGGTGGGGTCCATCCAGGCATGAGGAACACCTCTGGGGTACTTCCAAGCTGTATATCTTCCCCACCAGTCAAACTGGAAAACCAGCAAGACCCTTCTGAGCCCCAGACCTCTCTACCTGAGGACACACGTGAACAGGACTATGGAGAAAAGCAAGTTGTGGTTTCAGCTGTGGCTCTCTAGCTGGACGGATGCTTTCCTGCCTCTCTCTGCAGCTGCTGAACTGGGTCTGCATGCTGTGTGTGGAGGTTGTCCAGCAGAGGAAGCACAGAAGAGCACGTGATTATGAACATGTAATTATGGGGTTACACACAACTCAGGCAGGGTCATAAAGACACACCACAGATGTACACCAATTCACAATTTATCCTCAGAAATATCTCGGGCTGCCCCTGATGTGCAGGTATAGCTGAGATGCAGCTTGGCAGGTGGTTTGCAGGGAAAAACAAAGGGCAGTGCTTCCATTGTCCTGAGGAAAGCCTCTTGCCTTGCTTATGGTAAGGTTTTTAATATCCATCATTTGCTCTGCATGGGGATTGCCCTCAACCCAGCCTGTAAATTGAAGCTGACTCAGAAACTGGCAGGTGGTTTGGTGAGAGGGTTTAACCCCCCAGTTTGGCAGCTGAAGATGTGCACTGGTTTCCTGCTGTTTAGTTGTTTTTCAATTTCATCCATTTAACGTTCAGGCAATTTTCAGAGACCCTCTCTTCTCCTCTGCCATGCAGCCACAGATGTCATCAGGCAAGATGACAAAGTGGAGCCCCTTCTAACCTAAGGCTGGTAAGGAGAAGTGGTTGCTTTGGGACCTGCCTGCCGTGCCAGCCTTGAAGGATCTCAGACCCATCTGGTGTGGGGCTATGCCCACCAGCCTCTCCCAGCCTTTGGAAAGGGAATGGGGTCTTGCAGACATGAGCTGCGAGATGAGGTTGTCACCTGTATTCTCTGCAACATGGTAGAAGTGGTAGATAACTTTATCTTTAGCAGATAAAGTTATGGAGCTTGTATTCTAGAGGAGTAATATGTAGATAGCTGACCGAGTGATCTAAATTATGTGTGTTTAAAGAAGGATTCCTGTCATCCTCCCCTAGACCAATTTTTTAGAGCCTCCTTGAAGGGTGTAGGGGAAATCCTTCTAGGAGTAGCAAATCAGTCCTGTTTAGCCTAAGAACTTGGTGAAACATGAAAAAAAACCTTTGGGCAAATGTGTTCTAGGGAGGAAGGCAGGTTCAGAAGAGTCCCCACAGCTTTTCTGGGGACAGTTGGCCCCATATGTTCCCTTGGAGCAGAAATGGCCTCGCGGGAAGATCTTGCTACCGAGAGAGATGCAGAGCTGTGACAGGGAAAGAGCTTTCTCATTCAAACACACACATGGATGCGACCACAGCAGAAGCTCCAGAGAGCAGAGCGGGGACTCCAGACTTTTATAAAGGGGAAAGAAAGATCCTAACCCACGTGGTGGGATGGGAGGCTCTTCCACATATGTTACGGGGCCCAACCCACTGGCCTCCTGGCAATTCCTCTGCCTGGTGTTTCTGGTGGACTTGCAGAGCCCATCCTTGTGGCTCTTGGTCCCTACAGCGCGGCCCGATGGCTTGCAGGGACGTTAGCTGGGACCCAGCAAGGTGGCCATGGAGGCCAGAAGTCGGGGGGGAAGAGTGCCCTGTACTTACTTGCGAGAATGACCATGTCCATCCCCCAAAATATACTCATAATCCATCCAACCATCACGATCGCCGTCAGGATCTGAATCAGAGCAGCGGCAATGTTCAGCCAGAAGACACAACACTTGTGCCTGTCAGGGAGGTCGGTCCGGGCTCCGCACAGCACGGTGAAAGCGGATACAAATGTTCCTAGGGAAGAGAGAGGAGCAAGAAGACGCAGTGAAAGCCACAGCTTTGTGCCAAATTCCTTCCCTTAGACCCCCTTCTCACAGCATCGTGCTTCCGTGGCAGTGCTGAAAAGCTGGAAGGGCTTTGCAAGAGGACAAATGGAGACAAAGCCATATCTCACTTGAACATACCTCTGTCTCCAATTGAATTTCACTGACACATACACTTAAAAACCAGGAAAGTAAAAACACTTTTTGGGTTTTGGCTCCTTGCCCCCCACCCAGCTGCCACTGTAGGCAGTTTACAAGGAGTGCTGTGTGTCTGTGGAAATATCAGTCTACCTTTTTTGTACCTGGTGGCTCTCTCTCGGGGAGAATATTTACTCCACCGAAGCCTTAACAAGGGAAAATTGCACTGGGAGTTAGAGCAGGACTGGCTCTGGAAAGCTGGAGGGCTCTGGCATGGCTGGCAGTCTGCTACTATTCACCAATACTGCTCTAGAAGCGGCACACACACACAAAAAGGGGGTGTTGACGAGGCACTGCATCCTTGCACAACGCTTTACACTCACAAACGGGTACCTGAGAGGCTGTTTTTAACAAAGGAGAAGGAGCCAAACCAGCGCTGTTACCTGAGAGGCGACCTCGGCTCTGCTTGTGTCCAACTTATAAAACTTGCCAACAGCCCTTCAGGCTTCCTAAAACAATTTCAGATGAAGGATCTCACTGATGTATGAAAATTAAAGCTGGGAGATTCTTCCTGAATTTTGAGCTGATGTTCTAGGCCCGTGACTAGCTAAACCCCACAGCTTGGGGAAGCCTTGTTTGTGCCACAACCAACCTGCAGAAACCCCCAACACTGGCAAAGAGCAGAAGAATCTCTTTCTGAACCCTATAAAGTATGAACTGTTGGCTGGGAGATTCAGTCAACCTGATCTAAGTATACATTTCAACACCTCTTGGCATTATGAATTGTCTTCTGTGTTGTTTTTTGTTTGGCTGCTGTTTTTTTTCTTAATATAAATACAGCTTTGCCAAGGTAGGTGTAATTCAGATTGTACAGGATAATGTAGTTCTGTGAAATGCTTTCCTTGATGAACACCTGGAATTAAAAATCCAGCAGCATGATGTCCAGTGATTTCTACAAAAATTGTCCTTCTCTCTTTCAAGGCTGTAAGCCTGCAAGTCACCTGTAACAGATGAACAAATGAGCTCATCTCTGATGCACAGAAGTACCTCGTTGAACCTGGGAGCAGGAGGGAGTCGTTTGGTTTGGCTGAAGGCAGGAAAGAAACAGTTTACACACTTCCAGAAGACCTCACCAGATAGAGACAGCAGAAGGATCTGGTTAGGAGGAAAATCATAGAAACACAGAATGGTTTAGGCTGAAGAGACCTTAAAGATCATCTGGTTCCAACGCCCTGCCATGGGCAGGGACACCTCCCACCAGACCAGGTTGCTCAAAACCCCATCCAGCCTGGCCTTGAACACCTCCAGGGATGGGGCAGCCACAGCTTCTCTGGGCAACCTCTTCCAGTGTCTCACCACCCTTACAGGAAAGCATTTCTTCCTAAGATCTAATCTAAAATTCCCCTCTTTCAGTTTAAAGCCATTCCCCCTCATCCTATGGCTCCACACCATTATCAAAAGTCCCTCCCCATCTCTCCTGTAGCCCCTTTAGGGGCTGGAAGGGGCTCTAAGGTCTCCCCAGAGCCTTCTCTTCTCCAGGCTGAACTGGAGAACTTGAGACACCATTTTGCCCTGCATTGCCAGGGTTTTGGAAGAGAATCTTGCAGCCCGATGGCTTGCAGGGATATTAGCTGGGACCCAGCAAGGTGGCCATGGAGGCCAGAAGTCGGGGGGGAAGAGTGCCCTGTACTTACTTGCGAGAATGACCATGTCCATCCCCCAAAATATACTCATAATCCATCCAACCATCACGATCGCCGTCAGGATCTGAATCAGAGCAGCGGCAATGTTCAGCCAGAAGACACAACACTTGTGCCTGTCAGGGAGGTCGGTCCGGGCTCCGCACAGCACGGTGAAAGCGGATACAAATGTTCCTAGGGAAGAGAGAGGAGCAAGAAGACGCAGTGAAAGCCACAGCTTTGTGCCAAATTCCTTCCCTTAGACCCCCTTCTCACAGGGTCCCACTGCTCGTGCTTCCGTGGCAGTGCTGAAAAGCTGGAAGGGCTTTGCAAGAGGACAAATGGAGACAAAGCCATATCTCACTTGAACATACCTCTGTCTCCAATTGAATTTCACTGACACATACACTTAAAAACCAGGAAAGTAAAAACACTTTTTGGGTTTTGGCTCCTTGCCCCCCACCCAGCTGCCACTGTAGGCAGTTTACAAGGAGTGCTGTGTGTCTGTGGAAATATCAGTCTACCTTTTTTGTACCTGGTGGCTCTCTCTCGGGGAGAATATTTACTCCACCGAAGCCTTAACAAGGGAAAATTGCACTGGGAGTTAGAGCAGGACTGGCTCTGGAAAGCTGGAGGGCTCTGGCATGGCTGGCAGTCTGCTACTATTCACCAATACTGCTCTAGAAGCGGCACACACACACAAAAAGGGGGTGTTGACGAGGCACTGCATCCTTGCACAACGCTTTACACTCACAAACGGGTACCTGAGAGGCTGTTTTTAACAAAGGAGAAGGAGCCAAACCAGCGCTGTTACCTGAGAGGCGACCTCGGCTCTGCTTGTGTCCAACTTATAAAACTTGCCAACAGCCCTTCAGGCTTCCTAAAACAATTTCAGATGAAGGATCTCACTGATGTATGAAAATTAAAGCTGGGAGATTCTTCCTGAATTTTGAGCTGATGTTCTAGGCCCGTGACTAGCTAAACCCCACAGCTTGGGGAAGCCTTGTTTGTGCCACAACCAACCTGCAGAAACCCCCAACACTGGCAAAGAGCAGAAGAATCTCTTTCTGAACCCTATAAAGTATGAACTGTTGGCTGGGAGATTCAGTCAACCTGATCTAAGTATACATTTCAACACCTCTTGGCATTATGAATTGTCTTCTGTGTTGTTTTTTGTTTGGCTGCTGTTTTTTTTTTTAATATAAATACAGCTTTGCCAAGGTAGGTGTAATTCAGATTGTACAGGATAATGTAGTTCTGTGAAATGCTTTCCTTGATGAACACCTGGAATTAAAAATCCAGCAGCATGATGTCCAGTGATTTCTACAAAAATTGTCCTTCTCTCTTTCAAGGCTGTAAGCCTGCAAGTCACCTGTAACAGATGAACAAATGAGCTCATCTCTGATGCACAGAAGTACCTCGTTGAACCTGGGAGCAGGAGGGAGTCGTTTGGTTTGGCTGAAGGCAGGAAAGAAACAGTTTACACACTTCCAGAAGACCTCACCAGATAGAGACAGCAGAAGGATCTGGTTAGGAGGAAAATCATAGAAACACAGAATGGTTTAGGCTGAAGAGACCTTAAAGATCATCTGGTTCCAACGCCCTGCCATGGGCAGGGACACCTCCCACCAGACCAGGTTGCTCAAAACCCCATCCAGCCTGGCCTTGAACACCTCCAGGGATGGGGCAGCCACAGCTTCTCTGGGCAACCTCTTCCAGTGTCTCACCACCCTTACAGGAAAGCATTTCTTCCTAAGATCTAATCTAAAATTCCCCTCTTTCAGTTTAAAGCCATTCCCCCTCATCCTATGGCTCCACACCATTATCAAAAGTCCCTCCCCATCTCTCCTGTAGCCCCTTTAGGGGCTGGAAGGGGCTCTAAGGTCTCCCCAGAGCCTTCTCTTCTCCAGGCTGAACTGGAGAACTTGAGACACCATTTTGCCCTGCATTGCCAGGGTTTTGGAAGAGAATCTCCTCCATCGCTGCCTCTTCTTCAGTGGGTCACAAGAGAACAGGCAGTTAAGAAGCTGAAATGCTGGGGAAGGCTGGCTACAGCCTATTTTTAATCTCACCACCCTCTGCAGGCTTCAACTCCAGCATCTTCCTAACGCTCCACCAGCTCCTAAACTCCCCTCCTCGTCTTCCTGCCGCTGGCTCGAGCTGATTTCATACTCCCACCTGCTCGCTTTGCCAAAGCTGGGCACCGTATCCTGGCATGGGGAGCACTGATGGGGTGGTGGGAGATAACCCTACAGCAGGAGAGGACCATCATCTTCTCTGCTGTGAGAAATCCCCCCTGGGCTTCATCCTCTGACTGCTCAGCCGTCACAGGCAGGGTGTCACCCCCTTACCCACTGAAACAAAAGGGTCGACACAGGAATCCTTTAAGTCCCAAAAGATGTTGTATAAGTCTCTCCATTGCTCTGTGACTTCATCTTCCATGTCTTTTTTGTCCTCCATGGAGCATTACAGGAGATCTCTGCCCTGCTTCACCTTCCTTTTTTTTTTTTTTCCTTTATAGTTTCTCCAAAGCAGAAGGAAGGCTGGAATATTCCCCCACACTTCCCGAAACTGTTGCCTGCAAAGTTACACCACAGCACTCTCCGAGATTAAATATGGATTGAGGCAAGATCAGAGACTGGGTGTTTACATTTTCCCATCAGGATGCAAAATCTTGCCAAATGGAAATGCATGCCTCTTTTTAAAAATGAAAATTAAAATCTTTCTCTCTCGCCTTAACTTTAACTCTTCCAAGATGTGTTACAAAAGAAAGGTCATAAAGGAGCAATAATTCTTAAGCTACGGCTTCAAATCCTTCCAGTGAAGCTTTTAAGATTTTTACATCATTAGAGCAAGGTGCTGAATTAGCTAATTAATCCCAAAACACCACAGTGACTAAGCTAATGTCTGGTCCCATTCAGGAAGGAATACAGCAAACAAAGCAGTTAAGTGTCCCTCTCCGGACAGGGAGTTGATACAGAAGCTAGGATTGAAATCTCATCAACCTTGGCTTCTGATTCCCCCTTCAGGCCACTTTCCTACTCACAGGAGCCAATTTTCCAATGCCAGTGCATTCTCTTTATTAATTACGATTAGCTAATCTTTGGGAGGTTGATGGCATTTTTAAACACAAGACCTGAGACACGCCAGCGGACCTATAGTCCACATAGACTTTAAAATGTGAAGAAGAGTGTTAAATACATTTGCCAAGGTAGATGTTTTCCCCTTAAGAAGCCATCGTAGTTACACATTGCCGAATATGGAAATGTTTGCATCTGGAAGCAGAGAGATGGAGAGGAGGAGGAGGAGGAAGGCAAGGAAGCAAGCTAGCTGTGTCTGCTGATACCTCTTGGCTGCATCAGAGCTGGGGCACTGAACCTTCCTGACCGAGCACTCAGACACTTGAATACATATAGCCTAGAAATCATAAACTTGGTAGGCAAACTGCAGCTGGTAGAGGCTGAGAGACAGGCTGAGAGAGTTGGGGTTGCTCAGCCTGGAGAAGGAAAGGCTCTGGGGAGACCTTTGGGCTCCTTCCAGTCCCTAAAGGGGCTACAGGGGAGATGGGGAGGGACTCTTGATAATGGAGTAGAGCCATAGGACTGGGGGGATAGTTTTAAACTGAAAGAGGGGAGATTTAGATGAGATCTCAGGATGAAATTCTTCCCTGTGAGGGTGGTGAGACACTGGAACAGGTTGCCCAGAGAAGCTGTGGCTGCCCCATCCCTGGAGGCGTTCAAGGCCAGGCTGGATGGGGCTTTGAGCAGCCTGGTCTGGTGGGAGGTGTCCCTGCTCGTGGCAGGGGGTTGGAACTGGATGATCTTTAAGGTTTCTTCCAACATAAACCATTCTGTGATTCTATGATTATTTTAAATTGTGAATTAATATAGCCTCTTTGGGGACAGAAGGGAGGGGGTGGAAGCAAGGTGTCCTGTGCTACCTGATGACTCTGTTTGTTCAACCTGGTGGGGCGTCAGGGCCCATTGCAATCACCTGGCACCCACAGCTACTGAGCACCAGGGGCTGGGCAGAGGGATGGTGAGAGCTGAGGGTTGTCCTTCTGGAGCAGCTCTGGGGCAGAGGGTGAAGGAGCCCTGTACCAGCAGGGAATGGGAAGCCAAGGTGGCTTCCTCAACTCATCCCCTCTCGTTTCACTCAGGGCAGTGTCACCCAGCTGGGGTGCCACACGCTGTTTTCGGCAAGGGAAGAAAGCCTCTGGGAGTTCGTGCTTGCTTTCTGCTGTCAACAGAATTGGGGTATTTTTAGCTCACACCAGTAAACACGGAAGGCTTTTTGTTTTCAACAGTTTAACCCATTGAACGCAAAGGGGACGTGGTATCTGTGGGACACTGCCATAAAAGGAGAGACACTGGAGGGGTTTTTGTCCTTTTTCTTCTCTCTGGTCCATTCTCATGCAGGATAAACCCGCCTCTCCAGTTTCTGCTGGTGCCCTGACAGCCATGGTCTTCCCAAGAGCATCATCTGATGGTTCCCGGCCTCACAGAATACACCAAAATAGCGTGAGAGACAAATAGTTTGGGTTTTAAATCTTAGAAGAAAAACTCACACCCTGGAGAGAGCTCTCCTGGTTTGGGTCACTTCCTCTTGGAGGAAGACATGAGGTCAAGCCCATGTCCTGTCTTGAACACGATCTCCTCCATGCTACCCAAGTGCAGCAGTGACTGTGGTATGGAATATCTTAAGCTGCATAAGGAAAGATTTTCTATAATATTTTTGCAATAAAACCTACCCTGGGCACTCCTGCAGGAGCTTGAGCTAGGTGTGGAGCTTGGCATGTTTTATGTGGAGGACCTGGCTGTGAGTAAACTTCTGATGGCACCTTCCCAGAAACATCATATGCGAGAGCCTGACTGGAGCCAGGGGGCAAAACAGAGCGGGAACGAGACACCAATGGCCACCAGTGTGAGCAATTTGAGCACACAGACAACTTGTTAGTGGCCTTTCCACTGACTAGCAGGTATCTGAGACTTCACAACAGAAAGCATCTCTGCTGCAAGGAAATCACATCTGATGAGCTGCCCTGTTACAGGTGAGGCAAGAGCAGAAACCCAAATTACTGGAGCCAGGGGCAGCACATGAAGCCAATGATGATCGTGGTCCCTACCCTATGAGAGCCTGGAGCTAGGAAGAGGCTGAGGAAACACCCCTTCCTCTTCCCCCAAGCCTGGAAGTTA